TTAGTTCACCTCAGCATAGAAAATAATGAAGCAGGGGAATACTGTGGTTTAGCACACTGTCTGACAGCAGGTATGGCACTAGCCATGTGGCTTCTTCGTCATGCCATCCAGTCATGCCATCCACGTCCAGGCTGCAGGGGATCTGACAGGAGAGCCAAATGTGTCAGCTCTGCTCCCAGTGTGATCCGCGCCGTACTTGAGGACTGTGCAGCCTGCGAGATTTGACTGCTCTCTGGACCCTTTGCAAAACCAGATCAAGGCAAAAGGGCTGGATTTCTCAGAGAATCTGGCCTACAGCTTCTTAGAGACAGATTAACCTCAGTTTGGCATCAAACTGAGGACACATACGGTCTCATTCTTCAGACCTAATCCAAGATCAACTCAGTCGATATTATTTTATCATGAATTAATACTGACAGTGGCATCTTTGAACACCCGCAGACTCTGAAGTTTTCTTTTTGCAAAGCTTGTTTGAGCTCCTGTTAGGGACAACAGAGTTTATACTGAATTTTGTCTGTAGAGGAATACTCAACCTCTTTGAATGCAAAGCAAACAAACAAAAATACACCCTCCCACCCGAAAGCCTATGTGTGGAGTGGGAAGCTGATTTTGTTTCCTTTGTATGCAACTGACAAAAAATATTGAACAGGACAGGCCTGGCCCTGCTGCAAACTGGTATTGCTGCTTCATTAGGAAATGGTTCTTTGTAAGCTGGGAGACATAAAGCTTTGATAATCCTGAACACTTGTGAATGAAATGTAGGCATGGTTTTCTAATGTGGATACCATACACTGTACAATATACATCCACAGCATTCTTGGCGGCCTCCTGCTCTGCAAATCCTGGCTTTACCACAGGCTGAAGCATTCAGGGGAATGGTGTAAAACCTAAGATGAACCTTTAGAAGCTGAAAACCTCCTTATGTCTACAACTCTCTCTTACAATCATGACTATACATAGTCTGAGCACTTTGTGATTTAGACATTTTGTCAGATAAGGCCACAGATTGCTGTTATACATGTAATGAATAATGGAAATGCAAATAATGCCATTCTTCATACACCTTTCACTGTTGCACTAAGAACATCGCACTGATTCTTATTACTTCTATTTTGACAATAAGTCAGGGCTCAAATTAAGAACGGCAATTCATAGTTCTAGAAATTGTACATGTAAGTTTGAGATACATTAAACTCTTTTGAGTTTTCCAGTCACTTAAAACGTATGTTAGCGTCATGAAAGAGATTCTCACTCTGAAATTATTTTTTTCCCAAACTCACTAAGGTCTGAAGCTCAGTAAACTTTCTCAAGTCTAAGGCCAAGTATCCTGCATGTGAATACGGTTGCAGGGGGGGCGTATGAGGTTACTGTTAAAAAAGGAGAGGTCAGCTATTTTGGAATGAGATGCAACTCCTGTAAGAGCAGGCCTGAAAGTGTTTAACTTTAAACTATATTTAAATCAAAAGCAATTTTTTAACAATGCTTACATGTTTGTAGCATTCATTTATGATATTTCCCCTCCATGTCTCCACAGCTGGGCTGTCGGTAGTTAAGTGGAACTCATCATCAACACACAGCAAACGCTGACTAACTGTTCATTGATAGGCTAGTGTTTGATATGATCAGAATTTAATTTATTTTTATTTACTGGTCCTAAAAGCTCAGATAAGCAGTTTTTCTATCCCAGTGTTAGAGAACAGCTTTCCTTTGTAGAAATTCTTATATTTGTCTATGAACCAAAATCTCCTCTCCTCTCTTCAGTAATTTCAATCATGGGCTTTCCCCCTCTGTTTGGTTTGCTAAATAGGATTATCATCATTAGCTTCTTAGCATATTCCCTGCCCTCCCTCCTTCTATACATGCATTGCTGCTTCCTTTACTGCTTTGATTTCTCTCGTTTTCAGATCCATCTCCAAACAGATACTCTGGGGTCCATATGAGACACTCAGTTGTCAGGGTAGTTGGATAGATACTACAGTCCTCTTGAAACAAAAGAAACAACCTCTTCTTTTTAGTTATTGCGTTGCCACAGCGGCAGGTTTTACAAACTACATGCAAAAAACAAATGCAGGAATTGTGAGCACCAGCTTTCAAGAAGAATGAAGTCAGATTTTAAGGAAAAACAGTGATAATTCAGTCTTTCCAGTAATTCCCAACAGTGTGGGAAGGAAACAATCCAGATTATTGAATGCTTCTTCACAGACTCTTGATTGGGAGAGAAGAAAAATCTACCAATTTCTGTGCAAACAGAGGTATTCATTGATCTTCTCTTATTCAATACTTTCCTAATTCAAAGATTTGGGGATCCAGTTGGGCAACTGACCCAATATCATGTGAATCAGAGACCATCTGCACACTCCAAATGAAAAGACAACAGACCTTGTGGTGTCTAAAACACACAGATGTCCTCTGCACAGATGAAGCATGGTCCCATCTATTCAGAAAACACTTAACATCATTAATACAACATGGAATTGGTTCATGAGCGAGCTGCAAAGAAAACAAAGGACTACACTGTTTACAATGGCCTGAGCAGTTCTGCTTTTGAAAGAGACTGATTTTACTGAGTTTGGCAGGAGAAGCATTATGATCAGACTGACTAGAATTTTTCTTCTGTTGCTTTTTAATGAGATTAGTTGAGCAAAAAGAACAGCAGGTATGAAGCTATACTTGATCTTTATGGAAATATACAGAATACATTTTACACTTCTCCACCAGAGAACAGTCAATTCCAATTGGTGCCAATGTTTTGTGTGGAATTGTTTGGTGGTGGTGTCTCAGGTACAGTCTCTAAGGGTATCTGTAAAAGAAATAATATTTTAAACACAGTATAGTCGTTTATGGGAATAAAATATGTGGACTGATTATAATGCATGGTTTTATTCAAGACACTTTATTCTTGTGCTGTTTAGAGATGCTTTGTGTGAAGGTTTGGTGTCTTTCCTAGCAAAAATCCAATCTCAGTCTCAGAATTCTCTGAAATGGCTATACATAGGTTTCATTTGTCCTTAGTGATTCTTACATCTGTAATCGGGCGGGAATAAAGATGCAATTTTATGTCCAATATCTTCCAAGGGTAAGCAGTTCTAGCAGGTAAGGTTATTGCTGTATGACACCGCTGTTTTGTGGGTGGCAGCAAACGCAGTCGATCTCTGGCAGATCTCTGCCTGGGAATCCCCCCGGCAGCCAGGCGTTCGCGGCTGGAGGGGCCACGCTGTCACGGGCACGCCCTGGAGCAGCTTTTCAAACCAGCGGCCGAGGGGGCAGCGCCCGCTGCTCCCGCTCTCAACGCCCTGGAGCAGCTTTTCAAACCAGCGGCCGAGGGGGCAGCGCCCGTTCCTTGGCTGGGCTGGCGTGGGGCCGGGCCGGTGCCGCCGGCGGAGGGCCGGGGTGTGTGGTGTGT